GGTACTCGTACTAATAGTCGTGCATGCCGTAGTCGTTAGACCATTGACCTCGCATCCCTACAAAGCCGGGACGGAGCACGCCGGGTTCTCACCGGACCAGGCTCTCACATCACCAAGCGCGAAGCGCCGTGAGATATTCGGCGAGTCGCATGAAGGGTGCGCTGCATCCTGCTAAGGGTGTTCGGCATCTTGTGCTTACTTCCTTGCGTACGGATGACAGCTGCGTATGAATTAATTTATTTTCTGGTGCTTTCACTTCCAGAGACAGTTGTAAGCACTGTGTAACTGCCTCGAGGGTGCTTGACCATTTTAACACAACGTGGTGCGATCATCCCCCTTGCGCGGAGTGAGGGTTCTCCACCCCGCACAACATGATCTACTCGACCACCATTATGGTTACCGCCAAAAAAAAAACAGAGGTAAAAAAAAAAACGGTAACTAGGTTGCCGAGTTCACGAAGTGAATTGGCTTGTTTTACAACGTCGTTGCCAAGCGACGAANATCCTGCTAAGGGTTTTCGGCATCTTGTGCTTACTTCCTTGCGTACGGATGACAGCTGCGTATGAATTAATTTATTTTCTGGTGCTTTCACTTCCTGAGACAGTTGTAAGCATTGCGTAACTGCCTCGAGGGTGCTTGCCCATTTTAACACAACGTGGTGCGATCATCCCCCTTGCCGGAGTGAGGGTTCTCCATCCCGCACAACATGATGTACTCGACCACCATAATGGTTACCGCCAAAAAAAACGGTAACCTGGTTGCCGAGTTCACGAAATGAAGTGGCTTGTNGACAGTTGTAAGCATTGCGTAACTGCCTCGAGGGTGCTTGCCCATTTTAACACAACGTGGTGCGATCATCCCCCTTGCCGGAGTGAGGGTTCTCCATCCCGCACAACATGATGTACTCGACCACCATAATGGTTACCGCCAAAAAAAACGGTAACCTGGTTGCCGAGTTCACGAAATGAAGTGGCTTGTTTTACAACGTCGTTGCCAAGCGACGAAAACCCAACCCGGATGGCAAACACCGGGGGGGGGCGTGCCCGGGGGGACATTTTGACAATATCCCCGGTGCTTCAACATTTTTCGGGCGTTTTTTCAAGTGCGCGCGCGCGGGATCCCACACAGAGCTGGTGGAAAATATGGAAACACCCCAAGAATACGCGTCAGTCTTGGTCGCGAGGAATAGCGTATGGTGTTGGAAATAGTACACGAAAGCCTACAAATTATAGGATTTTATGGGTTTTGGAATGCGGCGCGAAAATGTTTTCAATGAAGAGTTTATTGGTTTTACTGGAAAAACAAAATCCTATATAATAGGCTGCTGCAAGTGAGCCGCCTAGAGTGGCGATCTTGCGTGTCAATCTTGGCCCGAGGGGGGGGGGAGGGGGGTCTGGGGTGTTCTACGGTTTCCACGTAGAGGGCCCCTCGACAACAAGTAAGCTATCGCTGGTGAACACTTTTTGGATGACTGCACTCTTCTCTTGGTGCAGGGTGGGCGAATGCACGCTGATCGGGGCTTCGGGGGAGTACTCGGACTTCCAGCACATCATGGAGACCCTCGAAGATTACCACCAGTACGACGTCAACATGGACGACGGCTTCGAGAGGAGTCCCGCAGAGATCTACAACCTGCTGAGGACCATCATGTACAACCGCAGGTGAGCCTTCCCCGCTTTTTTGCCCCACTCCACACGCTGGCGGATTTCGTGACGCGTTCCTCGACCTACAGTAGCTGGTTACCTGGCTGACTGACTGAATTGAGTTCTGACCACACCCAGCCACAACCACATGTGTGTGCGTGCCAGCTGTTTGGTGGAACCGACTGCCCTGTCAAGCTTCCATGGTGCAAAATTGGAGGGTAATACTGGGCACCCATGCGGTCGCTCTGTGTTCCATGTGGATATATGGGTGTGGGTGTTCTTTGTCCTCACGAAAACCATCTCCGTGCGCCCGTACTGTGTTTCCATCGGTCGCGCTCTCATGGCAAAAAGAAACAAATTCAACCCGCTGTGGAACTACCTGCTCATCGCCGGCTGCAAGAAGGACGGCACCGCTTTCCTTGGCTCTGTTGACCACATCGGGTGAGAAATCAGCCTTCCCTTCTATTGTACAGTAGCACCAACTTGTTGAGGATTCACAAGGAAGCAGGGAAGCGAATGGCAGTGTCGATGTCGCGCCTGTGAACTACATGACGCGATACTGTGCATTGAAATTGAACGCAGGGGTTATGGAGTGATGCAGAGTTTTGAAGGCAGCAATGCCAGGACTCATTTTTCTAGCTTGTCGTTTGGCGACGGAAGATCGATCGGAGATGTCTCTTGTGTGCGCATCAGGTGTCTAGTGGTGACAACTTTTTTTGTGCGTGATTTCTTCCTTGACTGCTGTATCGTGCATGGTCGTTTCCACACGCATGCCTCAATATCTGTCCCTAAATCGAGATGCTGACATTAACGTTGCTGGTGTTTGCTCGCAATGACAGGACTTGCTATGAGGACAACATTCTGGCCACGGGTTTCGGTGGGCACCTGGCGCTGCCCATCCTTCGCAAGAAGTGGAGGCCGGACTTGGAGGAGGGAGAGGCTAGGTGGAAAGCTAGGAACAATCCAATGCATAGCTCGGTTTGGTCGCTGTGTGAAATCGAAACGGGCGGAGTATTTTTTGACCGAATTTCAACAACGAGATCCGTCCTGGTTTGGTGCAAACGGTCAAAGGTGCTTCTCGTCACCGTGTCTGTACCTTCGACATCGAGAAATTTAAGGTGTATCCACGGGCTGATTATTTCAAGGCACCGATCGATGAAGCAGACCCGGGGGATTGATGCAAGATGGGCATCTCAGAATGAGGACATAGCACCCACCGATAAAGGTTGACGAGAGCCGTGTTTCTCGCCTCGTCCCTCTCACTTCATTCTGTCCTTTGCTGTTTTTGCGTGCCGTGGTTGGATCTATGATGACAGGGCTTTGCTGGAGGACTGCATGCGGGTGCTCTTCTACCGCGATTGCCGGGCGCTGAACCGGATCCAGATCGCGAAGGCCACGGCGGAGGGCACGGTCGTCAGTGACGCGTACAAGGTGACCAGCGGCGGCACATCCGCGGAGAGTTGCTCGCAAACCCTAAACGTTTCGCATGCGCGAGGTTACTCCTGTGGAACACGCCCTTATGACGTCGTTTCCTATTGGTATTGATGTCGATGGTCCTTTTAGACACAGCAGACTGCCGTGTCGCACATCCTTCTCACATGGAGGTCGAACTCCCATCCAACAGCTGAAGAGGTATCAGCGGAAATGTTTGCACGGTGGTCAATCTGCCTCCTCATCACGGGTCATCTCTACCTTCCCGCACCGCTACAGTATCGAGGTTGACCCCATGTTTTCTTCTCTATATGCAATTCTTGTCGACCGTTGCCTCGCAGGTGGACACAGAATGGAGCTTGGCGTCATTTAGCCAGCCGAAGGCCGGGCAGGATACTGACGGGAGCTGGTGATGACATGTCTAGTTTGTTTAGGAAGGCCAGGCGGGCTTGGGGGAAGTCGCGCGTGGGTTGCCCGCAGGGTGTTGCAGGCGGGGTGGTGATGACCATCTGGCGGCAGCTTTCCAGCGCAAACTATGCACCCTTGTGGCATGACACCATCGGTTGTTATTCCCAGGGAGGGGGGGGCATTGGTAGGTGCGACTGCTCCGTCACACCTGCTGTTGTCTGTTGGAACAGGCTCTAACGATGCAGGCACCGATTTTGGTCGGCCGACATTCGGGCGGCATCTTACTTGGCACTACTTCTGTGTTGTTGTGGTGGACAAATAGTGTGCGGGTAGCGCGGGCAAAATAACCGAACCACGTGGCCGGAGTGCCGCCAACTGTTATGATCACATCTGCCGTTATGATGGCGGGATAAACCTCTCGCCCCTGCTGTCGCACATGGATGATTAAGATTGGTATACAACGCCCCAAGCCGCAGATACCCCCCTTGACACTGAATGTATACCAAAGTAAGTACAGATACCCTCGTCGGTAGCCTTGGGCCTTAACTTTGCTCCAACACTCACTGACCTATCATCTACACAAGCAACCGTGGTTACACCATGAGCACATACAACCTCACCGAGATCTTACTCGGGTAGTGCAGCCCTACACCGGATACAGATGGGAGTCCCACCTTTCCCAATGCTGCTGTGGATGCACTCAATTGTTACAAGGTGGGGGTAACTAGCTGTCCTCATGAACAACAGTCGCAAGCGTGCATGCGCTTCTTTGGAGCTGAACCACCGGAGCGCCCAACGGTTGGGGTTCGTAGACTGTGGTCACTCCACGGAGATGGTTTTCCCAGATGCGGAGCGATAAATACGATCGTTGACGGCAGCCGCCATGTCGCCGTTGCTTGTGCTCGGGAGACCTGTTCCAACCACAAGAACAGCATCACAGTCAAAAGGTTACAGTGGGCCATAGGCGTGCAACTGTGTGGGTGCTGGCGAAGCGGCGCAATAAAACCTACAGCAATGTAGTCAAACCTGATGAAAACTCCAATAGTCCGGTGTGGGCGTGACCACACAACCTACAGTATCTTGGGCGACAAGTCATACTGGAGTTATTCAGACAGCGACTGCTGTCCGTGAACAGGTGCAAATCTCGCTGGTGCCAACCACCTGATTTGGCGAAACAAAATAAACAGCATCCCAGGAACTTAGAAAATCAACCTGTAACAAGCTTTTCGACAGGGACACTGGCACACACACCGGCGATGAGAAGTCGCTGCGCCAATGGCTGTCTTTCTGCCCATCTTAGAGCGCGAAAGAGCCCTTTCGCAGCCTCATCCGCACTGCCTTCGATGGACAGATCGGAGTACGCCACAGCGGATGCTTGCAACCCCTTCAGCTGCCCGGCGAAGTCAACGACAACGCTTGTCCTTCACGAGTCGCGTCAACGGAGAGCGAGAGAGAGAAGTAAAACAACCATTGCTGTACGGGCGCTTCCAAGAAAAATGCCAAAGGAGTGTACGTGAACTATAATAAATAGACCGATCAAGCGGTGTTGGGCGTGCGAAGCGAAGGGAATCCAAGGGAACAATTTCATCTCATTTCCTCGTGGCTGCTGTTCTACAAGACGACAACGGCCAACGGCTGTTGCCAAGCAACTCAACTGGAACAACATTTGGCATTTCAGTGACCGACCAGACATTGTTTTGTGGGCGCTCTTCACCGTGAGACCCAAAAACCAGAAACGGCAACAACACAGCAGTCAAGCAAAAATACCATTCGGTAGATCACCCACCTCGCCATGCTCGCAAGATCGGCAAGCTCCCCACCCCCAACCATGCGGCCGCTGGTGCTGCCGGGCGTTGCCCCCAACACGCGGAATACCTCCAGGTCTGGCGAATAATGCCGCAGGAGCTGCCCTGTGATGGCATCCGATATCGCGCACAGCAGTCTCACAAACCCTGGTACGAAGTACTCACCATACATGCCATGGTCCAAACGAACCGCGAGAGTGTATGCACGATTCCCCCATTGCCAGAACGTTTCGCGTCTACTACCGTCGCTACTGATGCTGTAAGAAACGCTTTTCTATTAGTGAGAATGCGAAAGTAGGCATAACTTGTCCGAAGCTTTGGAACTGGAAGTATGCACATATCATTGCTCTCTCGCTCGGATGGATGAAAAACACGAGGAAGCTGACAGCTGACAACGTAAAAGCGCGTTCCGTCGAAACGCAGTGTGGACAACATTGAGCAACTTTGCGAAAAGTACTGTCGCGTGCACTCCTGCCAACAACTTCACGCTGAGTCTTGTTTCTACGCCGGCTGATTGAATCAGCGCATCATCGTGTCGCCGGCAACGCCAGGGCTAAGGAGAGATACGACCTGCTGCCGCACCTGGTGCTTGCCCTTCGTCCTTCGCAGGCTCATCCTCCAAAGACGCTTGCGCCTCCCGTTCTCTCTCCTCTTTACCCTTCGCGTCCGTTTTTCCTCCCGCAACCGAACCCGCGTACACGCTTATCCCCGAAAACTCTTCCCCGCCCTCTTTCAGCGCGTCTCGTATTCGATCCTGGGTAACGCCGCCCATCCTCAGTATCAAAATCCGGTCGTTGGCGGCGTCAATCTTGGCGACGGTGGACTCGATGCCCACGCCACAAGCGCCGGAGGTGTCGCCATCCAAGATGAGGATATCGCTTCCCCCCAAGTCTTCCATCACGTGCACTGCCTGCGTGGGGCTGGACGGGGCACGGGAGAGGGGAAAAAAGACTGAGAAATCTTCAGCAGGCGAAGGAGAGAGAGAGAAAGAGAGAGAGCGAGCGAACGAGACTCCGTGCCTCTGTATATGAGACTTGTCAACGAGAGACATGCTTGGGCGGCGAAACCTATAGAAGCGTTTCATCAAGAACAAAAATCGACATGGCACGACAACGCGAGAAAGACTTATCGATTCGATCATTCCGGGGGGCCCGAACATCCTGCACGCCGTTCGTGACGTTGCACCCCCACTTGGCCTGCGGATGACCTCAAAACCTGCGCTCCCAGAAGGAAGGAGCAAAGTACCAAAAGTGGATGCAACCCATTCCGATACCTGACGTGGCCGAATCGGTTTGCGCTTGGGGCCGCCACGGGCACGCCGGCAATTGACAAAAGCTGCCGTGTTACGGGATGCGCGGGGCAGCGAACACCCACGAAGCCCGTACCGGCCGTGATGCACGACGGCACCTTCTTGTCGGCCTTGGCGATGAGCGTTAGTGGGCCTGACGCCCAAGCCGGAGACAGCGAGGAGGATGTGACATGATCACAGTCGGGTGGATTGAAGGTGAAAGCGAAGCGATGCCGACATGGTCTGGTCGGAGCATAAAATCACAGTGTTAGGGAAGAGCCACAGGAGAAGAGACCTTGGAGCTTCTAGCCTGGTTGTATCTATCTTACCACGAGCTCACGATCACCACAAGAAAGCCTACCCTGTGGGCGTTGGAATAATTTGCAGGGTAGCTGGTCCACCGGCCCAATGGCACACGTCACCAACACCAATACCACTTTTCATGTATGACGCCCGATGTCACCCGCACCCCCTCCGACGGTTCGGTGTTTATGGACGGGTGGTTTCACCACAACGAGATATGTGAGGGATCTCTCCTTGGTGGCGTTGGAAACGACGATGAAAATAAATATCTCGGGGGTTTTGATATTTTGGCACCAAATACACAGCCTTGGCAACGCCGCGCCATCCGTGCCAGGTCGCGCTGGAAACTCGCTCTTTTCCCCTGCCCCGCCCTCGCGAACGTGCAACAACTCACCAGGCCACAGCTTCTCGCCAAGAAGGTCCAAGAGCCGCCGTGCTTTTTGCCCCCCGCTCCCCTCAACCTCGAAGTCTACCACGGCAAGGGCGCCGGCCGTGTCCGGAACGTGCACGATTAGCGGGTCCGTCAGCGGCCGTTGTTTGGCCTTACACGTACATGTGGCAAGAGGGCAAAGAGGAGGGAAATGTGGCCAATCGCACAAACAATTTGGGTTGGACAGAAAGGGTTCCTGAACTAAATTCAGGCGACCGGAATGCGGGTCTGCGTGCATGCTGAGGGGGTGTTGCTCATGTTTGGCCGTCGACCACGCTACATCAGTATACAGTAAATTTTGTGCGATGATTTCAGGTTCATCGTAAAGCGGGGTATACTCCAAAAGATGACAAAAGTCCACAGCAGTGAGATACAAAAGGGGGAGCACTCGACATCTTTGTGGAGTTGGCGATACAAGTGCTGGTCCGGGCCATGCTGGACATTACGACTTTCAACGCATGTAATTCCTTTCGTGTGATGTATGTATGGATAGTAGTGCACAGTGTGCTCGACCCGGTGAGGGCTGCCTGCAGTAGGGGAGGCCACACGTAGATTTTTCCGTCCCACAGAGAGAGGCTCCACACCGATCGCCGAACACACGGCAGATGAATCAGGTGAGGGCAGCAGTGCGGCGGTTGTAGCAGCACTGTTTGTAATGATCAACCTCT